CGTATGTCGAGTAGAGGGGGAGACTGGATTTTGGAGGACAACTAGACACGTTCCTCACAGTGCAAGTTCCATTGACAATGTCACTGACAGCGTAACAGTTGTAGCAGAATGCTTTGCTGGATATGAACTTAAACAGATTTTGTTTTGAACTGTAGAAAGTGAGGTTCAGAGGATCTTCAAGCAGCATTGGGAGAATAACTCAAGGCATTTCTTCTTCCATCTCTAATCACAGAGATGGAGTTGTAAGCAGATCTATTGTGTTGGCAGACTAGAATCCTCTTGAAGGTAATCCCATTCTGTTGTCCAAAAACAAAGAAAGAATAACCTGTTAGAGTTCAGAAAGAGAAATGTCCAGATTTGACTGGTCATCACACCTCCAGCAACAACCTGCATTTTTATTTTGCTCCAGCAGAGAGGCAAATGAACTCTTGTCCTACAAAGCACTTAGGATGAGGGATTTGTGGTTTAGGTCATAATAGAGGAGGGATTGGGACTCTGAGGTAGGAAATTTTCTGGACAGGAAATTTACCAGGTGTTCACCATGAGACCTGGATTTGGGATCCTTCAGTGGCTCTAGTGGGACTGGGGCCTGTGAACTGAGGAAAGAGCTCAATAAGCAGTCATCACAAGGTGTTTGTGGAGTGACTGGACCAGACTGTGTTTTAGGAGGTCTTGCCTAACAGGTTGCTGATCTATAGTTGAATGGAGGCTGTCTCATTTCTGAAGTTCAGGCTCCTGTCCATTAACGTCTTTGGAGTTAGCATTCATGGATTTCTCAGCCACTGTGAAACAGAGCTACTCAGCAAAACCACTGTACACTCATAATCCTAAACTATGTGTTAAGGCGTTGGGGGGAGATGCTCTTTCAGAATGGCTTCACTTACTACTTCATGGATGAGAGCTGAATAAATGATTCCATGTACATCTAGTTGCCCACGTGGAAAAGCTAGTAGCAAATCTTTTTTTAAAAATGCAAATCTTGATTATACATTCTTTTGCTGCTGCTACATTCATTTTCTCACCAAATTCTGACAATTTTACATCCTTGGTATTTTCTCAACTCTCCTCACTTCTTTCTGATTTTGCTGCCACCACCTAAGCTTAAATCACTACCATCTCTCTCACCTATCATCCTCCCCAGGCTCCTTGAATTGACTATTTCCTGCTCTTCCCTACAATACAATCTATTCTCCAACATATGCAGAGAGAAAAGTTTTGAATGGGATTTTTTTTTTCTGTTTAAATGCTTTGCCGTCTTCCCATAACTCTCTGAACTGAGCTAAACCCTTAAGTGTTGCTCACGAAACTTGGCCCAACCATTTTTTTCCTTCAGTCTCATCACTGACCACACCGCTCCTTGACCTTCCCTTCTCCCATCCAATCATGCTGACCTTCCAGTTTCTGGAACAACTAACCCTGCTGCTTCCCACTTCAAGGTGCGCTGTACCTGGGGTGCTGCTCACCACCTGCTTTGGTTCAGTTAACTCCCCATTATCCCCCAGGATGTAGCAGGTGACTCCAACTCCTCCCAAGGTGGGATCAGTTGCCCACCCCCTACTATATGGCATGATAAACCTTTTCTTCACAGCACCAAACCTGGTGGTAATTATAAACCTAGTCATACAACTGTTCAAATGATACCCATATTCTTCTCTAGACTGTAAGACCTATGAGAATGGGAACTATGTAATTTTCCTTTTTTTTTTTTCTCTCGCCATTTGCATTCTGGACCATTCTCTTCTGCTCACATCTTATCTCCAATGCCTGACATATAGTAGGTGCGCAATAAATTCTTGTTCAATGAAGGCATAAGCAAGCACACTGTAATAACAGCAACGACAACAACCACATGCTTCAACAACATGCTTCAATGTTTTCAAAGCCTTTTCACACACATTATGACAGCTGACAAAGAAGAGAGGGACAGGGAGAAAGGCAGTTAGGTTCCATTCTCAGGACGCTGCTCCAAAAGCTTTAAATAGAATCTGCTATTAAAAGGGTAATACTTAAGTATTTGAGGCCAGGTTACAGTGTGGAATTTGATTAATGGGGTCTGTGAGATGCTTCCTGTAAAGCTTGCCCTTGGGAAGGGATGTTATATATACACTATATACATATTTGTATGAACTCTGAACAAAATAGGAGTTAAGTAGGAAAATGGCTGGATAAGTGCCAGAGGGAACCTTGTGTGGGAAGTTTGTAAAGAGGCAATAGACAGAAAGAGTAAAATAAAGCTGAAGTAAGCTAATGGGTGGATAGGGAGGAAATAGTATTCATCAGTAAAATAGATAACATAATGGCTAGAGAGAAAACAGGAAAGATACTATTGAAGAAAAATTGCCAAGAAAAAGTGCAAATGGCAGAAGGTCAGAGAATCAAATCAAAGAAGGGGGCTAAGAGATTAAGGACAACAACAGTACCTTCTACAGGGCCATTCTGAGTAAGAGTTGATTTGTGGATGTACTTAGGTGCCTAGTTGAAATGCAAAAGAAAAGTACTCGGATACACTCACCGACCTTATTTCATCTTGACATCTATCATTATCATCAAGGAAACAAGAACATGGAAAGTCACTTAGGGAATGTAAAGAGAGAAATTCTAAGGTGGAAAGGAACTAGGTCATAGGACCCTCAATCTTCCTTCCTCAGGTCTCTGAATAACAACTGCTCACTGGCAATGTTAACCTTCTCCTCATTCTCTACCTGGGCTTCCCCGGTGACCCAGTGGTAAGAGTCTGCCTCCAGTGAAGGAGATGCAGGAGATGCGGGTTCAATCCCTGAGTCAGGAAGATCCTCTGGAGGAGGAAATGGCAACCAACTCCAGTATTCTTGCCAGTAGAATCTCATGGACAGAGGAGCCTGACAACTGACACACAGGTACTGTCTACTCAACTTTGTGCACTCGATCCTACAACCTCTGTATCTCTAGAGCCCATTGAGAGAGAGTAGAAATAAATTAGACAGAGACACAGATTGATTGATTGAAGGGTAGGCCTGAGTTCCAGACTCCCCATTTGGAGAAAAACAATTCTTTTTTGTTCCTGCCATTCATTTTGTTTGTCCTCACTTTCTTAACTCTATATTCCTACATTCACTAACTGCTCCATCTCACGTTTCAATCTCTTGAACCCTCTCAATTCACCAAAATTGTTCTTTGTCTCTCCAAATATTTTGTTTGGAGTCTTCTATTGCATCTTGCACTTTTGGCATGCATTATCATTATTTGTGCATACACTTTATCTATTGTGTGTATAATGGATTATAGGTAATCCAAGGCACAGAGCCTTATTTATGGGGATTTACTGTGTTCATCTCTGACTCTCTAAGACACTGCTTAATGCTATGTATATAGTGGAGTGTCAAATATTTATTGATCTGAATTGCTAAAATCACAATACCTTTAACTATTTAGAGGCATTTGCCTCATGTCTTCCCTTCTCCTCAAATATATCACAAGAAGGAAAAAATTTTATCTGGTATAATTTCCTAAGGATTTTATAAAAATTCAAAGCGTGTATAGTATCCAATCCATGAATTCATCGACTGAGCATGCATCCAAGTATTCGGAGAAGACTGAAAAAAAGGAAACAAGCCAAAATAGGGTATACTTCCTTTCTTGTTTGATTTTTTTCTTATTTGATTTTCATGAAATATTTCTAGATTAAAAAATGTGTATAAACGAGTATATTTAAACATTTATTTTAAAAGTTTTTGTTTGTTGTTAATGAGGTATACTTTGGGCAGGGACAGCATTTGAAAGTGACAATGTGACTCTCTAACACCAAGACCTAGTCCCTGCTGTCTGCAATGCCAGATGGAAAAGATAAACTCCTTCAGTTTTGAAATCATGATGTCACAGCTTTGAGTCTGGCTGTCAAGCCTTGATAGAGTCCACCAGCTGCTGTTAGCTGACTACAGAGGTACATATTGGTGGGGTGTATACATACCTGCAATCCAGAACCCTTCCTGCACTCCTACCTCCTCATTACTGGAGCCCAGAAAGGCACGCATGAGATATAAGCCCTATCTTGGATCAGTTAGGCCCTTAGCTCTTGGCAGTTCATCTCATCTGCAAGGAGAAGATGGAGGAGGCTGTGGAGGCCACCAGGGCTCAGCTTGCAGGTGTTTTCACTCATCAGTCAGTCAGTCTGCAAGCCAGCAGATCTCTATTGAGCACTTACTATTTGTGCTGCGTGTAAGGCACAGTGGTGCAGATATAGGTCTTCTCAGACAGGGCTAAGCTTCCCTGGTGGCTCAGAAAGTAAAGAATCTGCCTGCAATGCAAGTGACTTGGGTTAGATCCCTGGGTTGGGAAGATGCCCTAGAGAAGGGAATGGCTACCCACTCTAGTATTCTTGCCTGGAGAATTTCATGGGCACAGGAGCCTGGTGGGTACAGTCCATGGGGTCCCTCCCACACACCCCAGGCCAGGTGTGTTATATCAGCCTAGAGTATAGCTTCATTTTCAAACTGAAGTAATGATGACCCTAGGATTATCAAATGTACAAAAAAATGCACTCTTGTGACCTAGGAGCTTGCCAAAACGTGGGTGTTTTTTAGATTTTGGAATGAAGAAAGGAGGGAGAGTGACGGGAGAATGATTTACCATTTATTTGCACAAAGAGAAAATTAAAATGAGGACGTTCACCCAGGTCCACTGTTTTTTTCCATTTTCTTGAGTGAAAGTGTATAAACATTTGATGGCTAGAAAGAACAGCCAGATTGGATTGTGCTCACTCATTCCTTCAGCACATTTTTATGTGTCCAGCCCCCTGCCAGGTCTAAGACATACAACTGTCAACAAGGCAGTCTGTTAAGACACTAAAATTCTGACCTGCCTCTTAGCAAATGAATCTCGTGGTCCTGAGAAGACATTTCTCTTTTCTTGTGTCCCCATCTCTAAAATGGGACTGAGAGCAGAGAGTGGCCACCATTCTCCAGCTTTCTTCTAGCTCTGCCACCTGGGAGCTCTAAGAGCAGGAAGAGACTCTTACCATGGAAATGGAAGTTCTGGTGCCCCTACCTCTGGAGGAAGGGCTGGGAGGCGGCCCCTGGGGCCGTTCTCCTCCGGACAGGACTCCCGAGGGTCAAGGGGAGAGGAAATGGTCTGACCGCAGCTCCACAAGTAGCTCGCACCTCTGGCTGCCTCTGCTGAGCCTGGCCTCCTGCCCCTCACACACGGGGCTTTGTGCTGACTCTCACACGGCTGTCAGCACAGTGACGGCATTCTGCTGTGCTGTGCATGCTTCAGGCTTGGCAGCCACTGAAAACTCAGTTCTGAAACTGGATAGAAAGGGTAGAGCAGTGTCTGATGCAAACCCTGGGCAGGAGGAGCTCCCAGTGCTAGAGGAGCACAGGCTTGCTGCAGAATCCACTCCTATCTTGGCTGATTATGGCTTCAGCAGACCAGTTTCACTGACCATGTACATCCCATTCTGGTAGACAGCCGGCCGGGCACCTGGAAGATCCTGCCTTCTTGGCCATGCTGAACTTACTTGTGCCTGTAGGGAGTGTAGTAAGTTTCCCTGCACATCAGTAGGGAGAAACCAAACTCCCAAATCCCGAGTCCTTAAACATTTTTGTACCCTTTGGCTGTCTGGTGAAACCTATTGACCCCTTCTCAGAAGAATATTTTTAAATGCAAAAAGTTAAATGCACACATAGGCTTTTAAAGGACACCAATTATACTGATATTCAATTATAAAAATATTGAGTTGTGATAAAGTAAGATACTTGTTTCTTTATTAATATATACAAGATATTCTGCTATAATTTTGGAGTCATGATGATATATTGACTCTCTCTTCAATGACTATGCAAGCTTGTGCTAAGTCGCTTCAGCTGTGTCCAACTCTTTGTGATCCCATGGACTGTAGCCCGCCAGGCTCCTCTGTCCATGGGGATTCTCCAGGCAAGAACACTGGAGTGGGTTGTCATGCCCTTCTCCAGGGGACCTTCCCAACCCAGGGATTGAGTCCTCATCACTTATGTCTCCTGCATTGGCACGTGGGTTCTTTACCCACTAAGCCACCTGGGAAGCCTATGATATAAAAGTAACTATGATCTCTACTGAAGACAAAATCCTAGGTACTGCTAATATGACTGTATGCTGCCTACTGTATTGGTTACCTATTGCTGCATAATACAACTCGGCAGATAACAAATAACATTGTACTCCATTTCTGAGGGTCAGGAATCCAGGAGGAGATTCTGGATGCTCCTACTCAGAGTCTCCCACAAGGTTGCAATCAAGCTGTGGGCCAGGGCTGTGTCATCTGAAGACTGTAAGATCCACCTCCAAGCTCACTCATGTGGCTGGTGGCTGGTGTCAGATCCTCAGTGGCTCTTGGCTGGGTGTCTCATTTCCTTGTCGCCTATCCTTAAATCATGGCAGCTGGCTTCTTTCAGAGTGAATGATGGAGAAAGAGCAAGGGTCCAAGATGAAGATGCTTTTATAACCTAATCTCAGTAGTAGCATGCCATCACTTCTGTATCCCATGGGTCACACAGACCAACCCTGACATGTATGGGAGGGAACTGCACAGGGGTGTGAACACCAGGTAGGTGGAGGCCATATAGGAGGCTGGTTACTACACACATGCTCAAAACGGAAGGACAAACTAAACTGAAGTTAAAGCGTGGTGAAAATAAAGATGTACATTTTTTTCTCATCCAAGTTCCTATACTCTGAATTCTACGCACAGACTCTAGGTTAACAAGTCCTGATAGATTGAGAGTATCTTGGTTTCTAGACAATTTCTGAGTTTAAAGGAAAGTGCTGTGGGATAATCAAAATTGCAGACCACCCTCTTAAAAACAAAGCTTTAGGGTCTATGTGCAAGCCTGAGAAGCTTTCCTCTGATTTGTGATTGTTGAACTCAGGATTGTTGGCACTCTTGGCCTTGCATAGAAATTGACAAATGGGAGATGATATGTGTTCACTGGACAGAGAGACCTTATTGATTAGTGCATTTGGGATCAAAATATATTAAATTCAGGAAGAACCTTGGAGACCATCTAGGTGATAATTTTTACAGAAAGAAATATACCAGCCTTGCGCTTGCCTGGAGAACTTTGTATGTTCTGTTCTCTCTGCCTGGAACGCTCTTCCTCCAGGTTTGCCATTCCTCCTCTCCCTCTCTCACTTACTTCCTGTCTTTATTTAAATGTTGCCTCAGTGAGGCTTCCATTGGCCACCCTATCTGTGGTAGGCAGCTTCTCAGATGGCCCCCAGTGATGCTTACCCTCTGGTCTTCATTCTTCTGTATAATCCCCTGCCTTTGAATGTGGACTTGGCCTAGTGACTCACCCCTAAGGAACAGAATTCAGGGTGGGTAGTGCCACTTCTGAGATTAGGTCACAGACTGTCTGGGATTCCTTGCTTGGCCTCTCTTGTTCTCTCAGTTTTCACTCTGCTGGAAGTCATCTCCCATGGTGTGAGTTGCCCTGTGGAGAGGTTGATGTGGCAAGGATCTGAGGGAGATCTCTAGCCGTGAGGTGATAAGGAGCTAAGGCATTTAGTCCAACAGCTTACAAGAAACCATAACTTTGCCTACAACCTCATGAGTGACCTTGCAACTGGCTCCTCCCTGACCCAAGCCCCGAATGACTGCAGCCCTCGGCAACACCTCCATGACATCCTTAAGAGCCTGAGCCTGAGGACACAGCTAAGCCATGCCTGGATTCCTGACCCTTGGAAACTGTGAGATAATAGATGTTTGTTGTTTCAAGCCACAAAAAAGCAAGTTACTCAAGTTTGGAGTAATTTGTTATTCAGCAACAGATAACGAACACATTATCAGACACTGTAATATGTCACTCCCACATTTTATGTCTACCACACATTTTTCACTCCTTACCACTATTCACTATAAGCTGTGTGAATGTGAGACTTCCCTGGTGGTCCAGTGGCTAAGACTCTGTACTCCTGATGTAGCAGGCCAGGGTTCGATCCCTGGCCAGGGAACTAGATCCTACATGTTGCAACTAAGAAGTTCACATGCTGCAACTAAAGATCCCACACACTGCAACTAAAATAGATCCCAGACACCACAACTAAGACCTGGCACAGCCAAATAAATAAAAATATTTTTTTTAAATGTACATATGTGTGTTATACGTTTGTTTGTATTTACTTACATTTATATAACCTCATGCGAAGAGTTGACTCATTGGAAAAGACCCTGATGCTGGGAGAGATTGGGGGCAGGAGGAGAAGGGGATGACAGAGGATGAGATGGCTGGTTGGCATCACTGACTCGATGGACATGAGTTTGAGTAAACTCCGGGAGTTTGTGAGGGACAGGGAGGCCTGGTGTACTGTGATTCATGGGGTCGCAAAGAGTCGGACACGACTGAGCGACTGAACTGAACTGAACTGAACTGACTGATTGTTGTCCCTCATTAGATTGAGTTTTATGAGGGCAGGTATTTTGGGCTAGAATGGTGCATAGAACAGTGCTTAGCACAAACTTGGTGCTTAATAAATACTTGGTGAATGAATGAAGGGGCATGGGGATGGGGTACACTTGTTATGGTGGTGCTTGAAAAAACAACCCCTGGATATGTTAGCTATACTCATAGTACTTACTCTTCTTCACTATATAGTGATGTTTCTCTCCATATCCCATCCAGGCCTCCAGTGCTGGACAAGTAAGGGCCCTGTCCCAGCTCACACTCCAGGGGGCATCTTTTCCTGGAGTGTCTTCCTCCTCAAATCTGTTAAATCCCCTTCTGGGACCTGGGACTGGTCTAGGCCAACAGTGCTTCTGGCAAGTTGTCCCAAGCCCAGCCTGGGTCCCAGGCAGCCTTGATTCAGTTCTCCCCAACTCATAAAGAGAGACCCCTGCATAATCTAAGGGTGACCTTTCCTTCTTCATTTAGAATCATTAGAGTGAAGCACTATCTGGGATGAGAATGTATAAGTCAGGAAAATAGCAATACTTATAAATCATGATGTATATTAAAGGAGACCTACTAACATGAACTTTGAATTCTGGTTTTGTTTTTTTTTTTTCTTTAAAATAGCTATAAGGACATTTCAGGGACAAGGGGGAAATCTGAATATGGATTGGATATAAGATTTTAAGGGAATTATTAATTTTCACAAGTATGATGATGATACTGTGGTTAGGTTGGGTTATTTATCTCCATCTTATGGGGGAATGCTCAACTATTTAGTGGGGAGTGTGTTTGTGTATATACATATATATAGCTAGACAAATATAGAAAAAAATGTTAACACTTATATACACATGTATATATATACATGTATATATACATGTATATATAATTAAACAAATACAGAAAAAATGTTAACATACACACACATATATACATATATATAGTTAAATACAGAAAAATGTTAACAACTATTAAATATAGTTGGTGAGTGTATGAATGCTTATACTATCCTTTCTACTCTTCCTTCTTTAAAAATGTTCATAATAAAATTTTTTAAAAAATATCTAAACATATATTCATTTCAAATAGAAACCTGGGCTTCAGAGAGGTGAAAGGGAGCTGCTTGGTCCTAGTCCAGCTAGTCAGTGGCAGATTGAAAACCTAGAAGACTGGACTCCCAATCCAGTTTTCTACCAACCACATCCAGAATATCCTTCCTTGGTTTTTTCCCAACTCTGAAACAAAAGCTTCATCAAACTGATGAGTTAGGAAAGCTACAAGGGACATGTCCCTCTGTCCCCAATTCAATGGAGTCAGGAATTATTATCAATTTCAAACAGACCCACAGTTGATCAGTTTTCCTGGAGCCCATATGCTTGTCATCATGAAAGGGCTCTGTGATTTAAGCAACTTAATAGCAACAAAAGGATGTTTCTTCTGTCCTCATTATCTAGGTGTTTAAAAATATTAGAGATAAGCCTTCAACAGGAATACAGTTTATATACTTAAGTCCTCTGCCAAAAGGTGACTTTTGCCTCTGCTGCTTTTTGACCTCTTTCACCTCCCCACACCCCCCCACACCCCCACCCCCGTCTCCCTGATTTGTTTTTAACTCCTAGTCATCTAGGCTTCCCTGGTGGCTCAGTGGTAAAGAATCCGCCTACCAGTGTTGGGGATGATGGTTTGATCCCTGAGTTGGAAAGATCCCACAGAGAAGGAAATGGCAACCTGCTCCAGTATTGTTGCCTGGGAAACTTCATGGATGGAGGAGCCTGGTGGGCTACAGATCATGGGGTCTCAAAAGAATCAGACACAACTTAGCGACTAAACAATGATAAGCCAGTCATCCAAGTCTTGATGTAGCATAGGCACCGGTTCTAAACAGCCTGAGTTGAAAACTCAGTTCTAAGACATATGAGTTGTGCAAACTTAACAGGGAGTTTAACAGCTCTGTGCCTCTGTTTTCATCATTGGTAAAATGGAAACAATTTTGTGGCAGACAAAATAACGGCACCCAAAGTCATCCACACCTTAATTCC